TACCACAGCTTTGACACAGATCTACCTACGCTCGGCTTTCACTGGGGGAAGGGGGAAGTAATATTGAGCATTGGGTATGACTGCAACAAGAACACTGGTTCCCAGTCCAGCAGTAGGTACAAGTCAGCAGCCAGCTTTGAACAGGCCAGGCCTACGACAAAAGCCAGGCCAATGACATCAGGATCTCCAGGCCGTGGAGCTACCCAGGCCCGGGGATTTGCAAGGTTCCCCAGGATCATCCACAGTGACCTGAGGACCACTATCAAGAAAAGCCGACCGCTGATATTGAAAAGATGTGTTTTGATGTAAATTAAAATAAACAAACTCTTTGGTGGTTAGTTGGTGAGACTCACATGGGAGATGAAGATTGTTTTACAGCAATTTTCAGAAAATCAGAATAAAAGTGAAGCAATAAGTCAAATAATTCATACTAAAATGCTCCTTTCCTTGAAGCAGTTGTCTATTTATTTGTTCTTGCACGTTAAATCTAACAATAAGTATCTTAACGTGTTATGATTTACAAGCAGGATAGGTGAGACACAGAGCTCTGTCTGATTTCTTCCCTTTCTTTCACCTTGCTGATGCAGACAAGCACCTCCCTGATAAAGGTGATTAAAACAATATAGATCAGCAATTAGGTTGTATCCTACATAGCTACTCATTTGACCCAGTTACAAGTCCAAAGTAAAAACATTTATTCTTTGCTCTGTAATACAAAAGATACCTAATAGATTAAGACAAAATCTGGCTGTTTCTCTATAAAAATAAAACACAGATCATCAGTCAGCAGTTGTATAGAGAACCAAAATATAAAAAATATAAATCTGCATAAAAAAGTTATTACACTAGAGTTTTTTACCTTATAAATAGCCTTATGAGTGATTAAAATCATCAGCACCATGATGAGACTATTTGATTCTGTGGTGAATCATTCAACCATAAACGTAATTTGAAAATAACAAAGTGGCAAAATAAGAAAAAGAACTATTTATAGATTGCACATTTATGGATAATGATATAATACAGACAATAGTACTTACAGAGAGAAAAATAATATTTTACTTTCAAAATTTGAATGGACAGAATTGTTAGGTATTTGATTTTATTTTAAACTACTTCTTTATGGATCTATAGACCATGACACAAAAATTAGTAAGAATTAAAAATGGGTTCCTGTAGAGCACACATTATGTAACCCAAACTCTATGTTCTTAAACTGAGTAATATTGGCAGCAGCATCTGAAAAAAGACATGAAGTCTCATATATCATGATGCTGATGGAGACCTGATGTTCACAAGTGTCCTTGTGGTTGGTGTCTGTTAAGCACAAGTAAGCCATGTATGTACTTGCTTTAAAATGAGATCGTAAAAATAAAAATGTAACAGGGCACGCATTTGGGGAATATACAGATTGAAATCTATGCTGAGATAAGGTAAATGCAGATGGTGCAATAATCTGGGTTAGAATTTCATTTCAAACTCTTGTTCATTCACCAATGGTTTGAAAGTATATTCGGTAAGTAGAGGTTTCAGTAGCTACAAAAGTTTATCTGTAAAACAAAAATTCATATTCCCTAAATATCTGATTTTTATAATATTTACTTGCAAAACTGGCCAGAATCCTGGTAAATATAAGAAAAAATCTTTAAGGAAAAAATCAAGCGGGAAAAAAATTTAGATTTATAACTTTATGACTTAAAATATTTGATTTTCAATATCACTTGCCAATAAAGATTTTGACATATTTGTCTGACTCTTATATATCAAAAACGCAGTTCTGAATAATACTGTACACTACAGAAAAAAACTACAGCCACAATTTTTGCTATAAAATTTGTGTAATATAGCAGATTAAATGCTGTATAACATATCACATATGCAACAGGTTTTTATCATTTGTTTGTCTGCAAATATAAATATTTTATTTTTAAAAAATATATCAGTTGGGGATGTAGCTCAGCAGTACAGTAACTACATCATAAGCACAAGGTCCTGAGTTCGATTTTCAATATAAAAAAAATCAATTATTTCTTACAATATTCTTGGGTGCAATATTTCTATAGTATGTTACAGTGGAAAGACTGGCCGAAGTAAATCATCTTTAAAAAAATGGTTTTAAAAAAATCATGAAAAATATCTTTAAAGCCACTTAAATCAAAAGTAAATTTAATCTATTTGGCATATGACCATTTTTAATGTTGAGGAAATATAAAATTAGAAAGTAATAATACACTCTAACTAAAAAGTTAAAAATCATAGCAGTTAATTATACACAGTATTTAAAAAGTTAATATATTTTTCTAAAATACTAATCCCACTAAAGTTGCAGCACCAACATGATTTTATGAATATTATCTGTCATTTTGACAAATATACTTACCATATAAACTATTAACTTTTGAGTTTTCACTACTATATTACCAATTACAGAAATGTAATGCATTTACTTTTAATATTTCTCATAATTTCATACCCGCCTTTAAAGATGGAAAATTCTGCATTATATGTGTTAATATGTTACAAGATATGTATATACATAGCCCATGTTCTGTGTGTGTGGTATGTGTGTGCGGTGTCGGAGACTAAATCCAAGAAGTCACACAAACCTGTCAAGTGCTTTACCACGGAACTACACTCCCATGCCCATAACATCTTGAGCAGAATTCTTAATAGTAGTTACTTCATAGTTAGAATAATTTCTGAAATTAGTATAATGTTCATAAATAAGCTAAAATATATTCAAAGACAACAAGTGGCATTTTAAACTATCTAAATGCTATGGCTTATACACATATATGTTTGTATATTTTCAGAATCATAGAGAAATGCCATATTAAGCTAAGAAGCTAATGCTTTTTCCGTCCTATTTCTGTATAAACCCCTTGTTTTATGAATCTTAAGCCAAGAACACCAGTCCTTTGAATTTGAAATTATAGTTTTTAAAAATAACTACTGTGGAACAAATGTTTCCAATGGCCAAACAATTACACCAAAACAAACAAACAACACTACAGCCAAGGAATATCTATAAGAAATCCCAAAAAATATATGAAATGTTAAGTTTCTGAGAAAACTCAAATACATGTATATTTACTTTTCAATTATGAAGAAATTTTAGAGCAGTTAAGATTTTTGTAATATGCTTTTGTTAACTCTTGCTTTAGGAAAAGATAATCTTGAAATAGTGTATAACACAAATCTAACTTACACTATATAGCTGTGATGATGCAAATATCAAGTTGAGAATTCATTCAGATCAAGAGGAAAAGAAACATTTTAATACATTTATGTAGGCATTTGAAAAAAGATAAGCTTGACATACTTTTTTGAAATTATGGTGCAGTCTATTGATGACAAAGACTACCTTTTGAGTGCTGAATTATGCAAACTGAAATTACTAGAAATTTCTATGAGGATTCATATTCAAAGCAGCAGGTCAGTTCAAATTTATTACAAGGTCCCACTCTTAAATATAAATATATGAAACTCTGTGGTAGAATTCTCAGCAACAGTTCCTCATATTATGTTTTCAGTGCAACATATCTTCACAAAATAAGTAACTATACTTATAAATGCACTGACGGACTAATTATTCATTGCTAATTCCTACCATTAAGCTCATGTTTAATTCCCAGGCATGAGTTACAATGGTACAGTTTAGAAGACAGGTAGGAAAGTTTAAGATCCACTTATCTAGGGAAAAAGCATTCTCAGTGTTATAAGCTCAGTTACCATTTTCAAAGTGGTATGTTTCTGGCCTTAAAAAATAATGATAAAGCAAGGTCAGATTGAGTTTAGCTTCACTTGCAAAAGCACGACTAACCCTAAGCAAAACAAGGCTCCTCAACTGTGTTCATTTAAAGTAAAAGTCCCCTGGTCGAACTCTCTTGTCAAAGCCTTCCAGAGCTCATTTTTGCTCCCTCTGGTTGCACTTTCCAAGGGAGGTGGAGGGGCAGTTGTTCTGTTTGTGTGGGAGGTTGGGAAAGTAGGGAGGAGAAAAGAGCGTGGTGTCTTAGTTCTTCTGAAAGTCAATATTATTTCATCGTGTTGTTTAAGCAGTTATCATTGGAAAAAACACTGAGGCTTACAGACTGTCACTGTCTGTTAAAGGTGACTGCAGTTACTTTACATCTCTTGGGTATGGCCCCTTTCAGCACCACGGACAGCGACACCCCATTCCCTGCCTAGGCTTTCTCTTTGCTAAATTATAAATTAGAAAATATTTCAGTAAACGCCAATCATAGCTTCTAAGATTTGCCATTTAGTACTTCTGAAGAGTATGCTGAAAAATCCAAATTACATAAGGTATCTAATAAATAACCTAACCTTGCTATCAATGGAAATCTAATTATAACTTTCCACTCATCCTGAGCCTCAGATCAATAATTATACCAATGCCTAAGAGAAATAGGAAACCGAAGGAGCGTGCATAGCCTCAGCTAGGCCTCTCAGATGTCCCAATAAAGCAAGAATGAGCCCCCTAAAAACATGCATGATTTGTTATTTTTCCTGCAGAAGCAATTACACCTTCTTTTGCTCCCCGGATCGATCAAGTTCATGATGCGACTATTGGGGGGTTCTAGTGTGCAGTGTGCACCCCAACCCCTACATGCCTGATTCTGACTCTTCTGGTTACCTGTGGTCACCAGTATGCCTCCCTGCCATTCCATTTTCTATCAGCTATACATAACCGAGCTCCAGCCAATGCCATAGCTATAAGAAACAGCGAGAGCACCACTTCTGTTATCTCCAAAGACCAGGGGCTCCCCTGATTTCCCAAGGATTCCCAGAGGAAGGCGTCTGTGTCCACCAGCAGTCCACCAGGTACTCCATCAATCAGCAAGTCACGCTCTTGTAAACCAGAGAAGCAACCAACCAAGTAACCAAACAGAGCCAATAAATACATAAATAAATAATAAATAAAACTGAAACACTGGCAAACACCTCGACTCAGCAAAGAGAGGGAGACGCACAGGATGGGGATGGTCCACCGTTCCTACCTTACAGTCTTCAGGACACGACTTCACCGAGTACTCCTCCGACTGCAAGTATTTATGGAGCACACTCTCAAACTCTTCATACTTCTCCTGAGCGTGGTGGTCGTAGTCTTGGTAAGCTTCGACGCACTGCCTGCATGTGGCCATCTCCCCGCCCTCCGTGAGCACCACATCCAGACTGCAGTTCAAAGTGTTGGGGCTGGACAGACCCGAGAACAACTCCCAAAGTGTGTAGGAATTACAAAACGAAAGGTAAAAATCCGACAAGTTCCAGAGCTGAGACGCTCGCTGGCCCCCCGCCCGCCTCTCCTCCTCCCCCACGGCCGCCGCCCCTCGACTCCAGTTCCTGGCGCACACAGCGTCCGCGCTGTCCACCGTGAAGCACTGGCCGGAGGGTGCGCCCTGGGGGTAGCAAGTCTCCAGGCGCCACAGGGGCTTGGCAGAGTTTCCTAGAAAAAGAGGCTTACTCCGGGGGCTCCTGCCTCGGCCGCTCTTGCCTCCGCCGCCGCCTCCGGGGGAAGGGGGCAGGGTGGGGGACGCGGAGGCGGAGAGGAGCCGGTGCGCCTGGGCGGCGGGCGCGGACTCCCCCATGCCGGCCAGGAGCGCAGGCCAGGAGGGCTCCTGCTGCCGCGGGCGCTGCTGCTGCTGCTGGCGCTGCTGTTGCTGGCGCTGCTGCTGCTGCTGCTGGCGCTGCTGCTGCTGCTGTTGGTGGTGCTCCTTGTCCCGGGTGCGGGTCAGTTTGGCCTCGGCGCAGAACCACAAGTGATCAGAGAGCAGGACTGTGAAAAACAGGAGAGATGCCAGAGACAGTCGCCATTTCTGAGCCCTCTCGGAATCGATGAACGGTTTCTCGTTCTCCCGGGGTGCCGCCAACCAGATTTTTAAGCCGTCGTCATACTGCCGACACATCCAAGCACCGCTGGTCATATTTTGGGAACGCACAGCCCTGGCCGTCTCCACCGTGAGGGCTCCTGGGTCGGGTCACCACAATATGCATTGACTTAGAGGGTTGAATTTCCTTATTCCCCTCCTCCCCTTTCTTCTCCTTCTCTCTCTCTCTCTCTCTCTCTCTCTCTCTCTCTCTCTCTCTCTCTCTCTCTCCCTCTATTTCTCTCTCCCTTCTCCCTCAGCCTCTCTCTCCCTCTTCTCTCTCTTTTTGCCTACATAAATATTACCAGGCTTTGGAGGAAGATCTGACTTGCTTCCGACCTAATCACCAGTCGACCCCATCCTCTGTAGAGTGGGAAATAATAATGCAGAGAGAGAAAGAGAGAGAGAGAAAGGAGAGAGAGAGAGAGAGAGGCAGGCGGAGGTTGGTGCTGGCCGGTGGTGAGGCTGAGGCAGGAGGGTGATGGTGGTGGAGGCGCCGGCCAGCTGCGCTCTCACCCCGGCATCGTCAGCGCGCGGGTCCCCATGGCCCCGCCGAGCGCAGCCCGCTGTCCCCCGCCGGGGCCACGCCG